GGGCGGTGACGGACGGGGACACTACGGGCTGCCTGCCGCTCACCTCTGCCCTCCAGCTCTTGCCTCCCGCCTGGCTTGCTTCCTGTCGCTTCTTCCCCAAGCCGGCTGGGACCAGCCGCCCATGTCTTCCCACAGCTCTCCCTGCCTGCTGCCCTACTCTCCGGATCCTGGGTGCGGAGGCAGGAGGAGCGGAAGGGCCCTGGGGCAGCCCCACGAGTGTGCACCCCTTGTTTCTCTGCCATTCCCACCTTTGGTCTCTCTTCCCTCACCCCAGCACTCCAGTCCCACCCCAGGGTCAACTTTTGCCCCCTCCCATCTGAGCAGTGTTACCAAGCCCCAGGGGTACCGGACGATCGGGGGCCGCCCTGGGTGGGGTCCCATGGAACACCCCAGTGCTCACAGGTAAGAACCGGGATGGGGTTGGAGTGTGTGGGGCCCTCTGGGCTCTGTTGTGGGCATCAGACATCCTGAGGGGGGCATCCTGGGTGGGAGAGACTCTGTGACTGCTTTTTCCTGCTTTGATTCATTCCCAGGGGTTCCCTGCAGACAGGGCGGGCCTGCGCCCAGGAAGTCTGGATGCTGAGATAGATTCGCTGACCAGCATGCTGGCTGAGCTGGATGGGGGTCGTGGTCACGCCCCACGGCGGCCAGAAAGACAGGTACACCCTCTGTCCTGCCCCTGTGCCCCCTACCCCCAGCCTGCTCCCTTCTCTGAATCCGGATTCCCAGCCCAGTCTCCACCTCCACCTGCCCTCATGGTGCGTGAGAACGTACTGGCATGAAGGAAGCGTGGGCTGCAGGAGCATACTAGCTAGGGACCTGGAGGACCAGACCTTGTCAAAAGTCAGTGGTTCTCTGGGGGTCACAGGTGGGGTGGGTTTCCACGAATGTGGGTCCCAGAATGGGCCTTGCCCACTGCTTCTGCCTGTGTTTCTCCCTAGACTTATGAGCCTCCTCAGCCTCCTGCTTACCGCATGGGTTCCCTGAAGCCAAATGGAGGGAGCCTTCCAACACCATCACTCCCAGCACCCCCCTATGGGGGCCCCACTCCAGCCTCCTATGCTACTGCCAGCACCCCGGCTGGCCCTGCCTTCCCTGTGCAAGTGAAGGTGGCACAACCAGTGAGAGGCTGCGGCCCTCCAAGGCGGGGAGGCCCTCAGGCCTCTGGGCACCTCTCGGGTCCCCACTTTCCTCTCCCAGGCCGTGGTGAATTCTGGGGGGCTGGCTACAGGAACCATCATGAGCCAGGGCCTGGGGGTAAGGAAGAGCCTACTGGGGTCTCGGGCCCTTCAGGAAGAGGAAGAGGAGGTGGGCACGTGTCCCAGGTAAGCCCCGGGCACTGGGATTTTGGGTCCTGGAACAATTGGACACAGATCGAGTGGGGTGGGGGTTAATGTCCTGATTTAAAGTACAATCGGGGTGGGTGTGGAACAGGTCAGGAAATACAGAGGGCAGGGGCAGCGCTGGCCACTGGTTTCTGGGCTGGGAGGTTCTTAGGTACGTTCTCTGCATTGAATCACCTGGTGCCCTCGGATTTCTACAGCATCAGGAATTACAGGTGGGACCCAACCCGGTTCTCGCCTCCCAGGTCCCCCTGAGCCAGCCCCCAGAAGAGGAGCTGGAGAGGCTGACCAGGAAGCTGGTGCATGATATGAACCACCCGCCCAGTGGGGAGTACTTTGGTAAGCTGACAGGTGGGGTGGGAGGTGGCATGGTCCAGCTCCCAGGGTGTTCACAGATTGATCCTGTACCTCCCTGTCCCCAGGGCGGTGTGGCGGCTGTGGAGAAGATGTAGTTGGGGATGGGGCGGGAGTTGTGGCCCTCGACCGCGTCTTCCACGTTGGCTGCTTTGTGTGTTCCACGTGCCGGGCCCAGCTCCGGGGCCAGCATTTCTACGCAGTGGAGAGGAGAGCGTACTGCGAGAGCTGCTATGTGGTGAGTGGTTGGGGCTAGGGTCTGGAGTTGACAGTGGAAAACGGAGGGCTTCCATTCACAGTGGAAACTAGATGTCCACGCCAAAAAATGAACAGGGCTCAAACTGGGGAACTCAAACAGATGTGCAAGCAGGGAGGAATTAAGTAGTTAATATGTACTGGGTCGGCGGGGACCAGATGATGGTGCAGCCACAAAACACAACACTCTGCTGACCACATGGGAAAGTTCCATGTTTATGTCAAAAGAACTCCCTGAGTATCCTGGGCACATGTGTGATCAAGATCTGGGAGTGGATCATGGCATCAAGACCCTATTAGACTTTTGGCCAGAACCGCCATCTTCCAGTAATTAACCAAAATGACGAACACAAAGGGAAAG